ACATACATACATACATACATACATACATACATACATACATACATACATACATACATACATACACACGTTTGTTTCATTAACTGCAGATTTTCCAAATTGAAACACCGGTTTCACTATATTACAGTATTACTAAGTAAGCGAAACAAACATAAAAGCTGCTTTGTGACGTATTTCATATATGAACTGTACACCTGAGAAAGACCAATGTTCGTAATATTATCTGTCTAATCAAACAGGATATGGATTTTCAATTCACAGCTCCACACCCTGAATGCTGAATCATAAGAGGTCAGAAGGGCACACATAAACCTATATCTATGCACACAGGTGATCTTTTAAACAGTCCAACCTCAGGAGCTTCCGCAGCATGGCTCGCCCCAAAAGGAACAGAGCTGTGATCATTGTCAATTATCAGTTCTTTCAAGCCGAAGAAGAACTTAACCGAAGAGAGGGGGCCAAAAAGGAAGCAGACAAGCTTTTTAAAGCCCTTTCCAAGTGCAATTATGATGTGAAATTGTTTTGGGATTTGACAGCCGAAGAAATAGAAGCCGTGTATGAGCAAGGTACGTTTGGGTTGAAGGCAACTGAGACGCTCAAAAAGGTACACCTGAAAATCCCTCCATGGAAGTGTTGCAAAGCCTGGGGGAGCCTCCAAAATTTTGTTCTACTGTTCATCAGAAAGGTCTGAGCTGCAGGGAAGAGAAGGATGGGGAGGATTTAAGACTAAATGGACAGCGGGATTATATAGTTAGGTTGTACATAATTCGGCTGATTATGATAAAGATATAAAAATATATTATTTTTTGTCATCTTTCCTGGGTCTTTGCTGATGAATGATGATGATGATCGAGGGGTAAGTTTATAGAAAAAGGGCTGAGGTATGGAAGGAAGTTGTATTTTTTTTTAAAGTTTTTTTGTTTTAATTAAACAAAAAACAGACAAAAAAGAATCATCCTTCATTACATCTTGTAGAAAGCGTGTTGATTGGTTACAAATATATTTCATGCGTTTCTTCCACAATCATTACTTATACTTCATTCATATTGAATTGTACATTTTAAATCAAAAATGTTTATGTATTTTACTTTCAATGNCTCTCTAAGCGGTTTACAGAGTCAGCATATTGCCCCCAACAACAATCTGGGTCCTCATTTTACCCACCTCGGAAGGATGGATGGCTGAGTCAACCTTGAGCCGGTGAGATTTGAACCGCCGAACTGCAGATAACAGTCAGCTGAAGTGGCCTGCAGTGCTGCATTTAACCACTGTGCCACCTCGGCTCGGCAGGAAGTATTTTATACAGGAATGCTTTGGCCTGCCAGATAAAGCCTAACTGACTGTCCCATTCTGTGACCACCTGCAGAAGTTACGGAAAAGAAGTGCAGAATGATTCTTCCAGGTTGAATGTCCTATCATTTGATGAAGACTAAAGGCAACTTGGCTTCTCACTGAGGGTGATATTATTAAGCATACCAAAATGAAAGTGGAAACTAAAATCAAAGTAATCCTCAAAAGGGACCTTAGGTTTAGCTTTCTAGTGCCATACAAAACATCAGCTTAAAGACTATGAAGGCCACAGGACAAATTCAAGCTAGCAACAATGTGAAAAAGCTGCTTCACATTACAGGACTGCCTATGCAATTATAGAAACACCAGTGCTGAGTTCAGATGGGGGACGGGGGAATATATGCACCCCACCTACTCTTTAACTGCCATCTTCTGCAACCTCTCTATAAATGGTACCCTTGGGTCTATTCCTATTTTTGTGCCCTTCACATAGAATGCAATACTCTGGCTATGGGTGGAAAGGGCCAGTGGAAGATTTACACAAGCAGTTCCTTTCTTGGATTGAAAAATGAGTGTCTGCCAGAACGGTAGACTTTGATTCTGAATAGATCCTATTTGCCATTGGGTAGTTTGTGCAATTTGCAATGGATTACAACGGCCCCAGACTGATTGTTGTCCTTCTGAGATTGATCATGGGAATGTGGCGGTAAGGATCGGAAAGATCTTAATTCATGGAGAATGCTTGAATTAAGCATTCAGAGCATGGTGGGGTCACAAATACTGAAGTCAACATTTCTTCAAACATTTACCTGCAGTCTAGCATCAGAAAAGGAACAACTGACTAAGAGATCAACCAAGACTTGGGCCGTATTAAGTCAAGCATTAAAACTCTGGCATTTCACAGATCATTGACACTTAAGATAGGAAGTACAGGATATTCACTTCTCAATATTGCCGTCTAAGACAGGAAATGTTCAACCAGTGCATCAGGCAATGCATGCCTCAGTGGAAGAGGACACTTTAGGGACAAGAATCAATCTTCATAAACTCTGCTCCAAGCTCACGAAATTGACTATGATTCTAACATCCAGAATCGAGGGGACAAAGTCAGCCTCCCCGTTTAACATTCCTTACGATCAATTTCACAGATAGTAAGTACCGCATCATTTAGAGGAAAATCACAGAGCCACTCTCTAGTGATTGGTTCTTCTTCACAGCGCAGGAGAAAAACAGGAAAAATGCAGGAAAGTCACTGAAAAGGGAATTAACAGTCCAGGGCTTTGAAAGAGGGAACGAGGCATGGCAATGGAGAAAGTGCATGTGCACAATTAAAAGCAATTTTGCACCCACCCCCCAACACCCCACCCCACCCCGGTTGGGCACAATAACACAGCCAACAGGCTCTGAGGCTGTACTGACAAAAGGCTGGACATGGTCCTTTTTTCTATGTGCCGTTTTCAAAACGAGTCCTCATGCAACACAAGAGCGTGTAGAAAGGTTTGGGTTTAGATCTGCGGAGAAGAAAAACAAAGGGAGACGTCAAAACGCTTGCCAAGTTCAGACCTGGTGTTCAATTGTATTCCTTGGTATTGAAAAACCAATGGGAAGAAAATGGTCCTTCCCAACTACATATACACTATATTGCCAAAAGTGGTTCCACCACAAAACCGCGGTCGACTAAAGCGCGTTCGACGAAACCGCGTACCTGACGTCATCACAGCGCGATGAAAAAAGCACGCTGTGAGCGGTAAAGCTAAAATTAATGCGTAAACCTAAACCTAACCCCCCAAAACCTAACCCCCCGAAACCTAACCCTAAACCTAACCTTTAACCTAACCCTAAACCTAACCCTTAACCTAACCCTTAACCTAACCCTNACATTATAAGGAAAAAAAAGAGAGAGAAATGTCTGATGTGCAGGGGCATTCAGAAAGTTGGAGGACTGGATTTTATAGTTTTGCCCACTCTTTGGATTGCTTTGATCCACTTTATAGATGCCCCTGACTCTAGAGAGTGAGCCTAAGACCTGGATGGGCATCTAGAAGCTGTAACATTTAGCCAAACATGAAGAAAGTATTCTTATCAGTGAGACATAGTTAGAAGAGGGATGTGGAAGATACCCATTGTTGCTGAGGGGTTAGGGATACCATATAGCTGCAGTTTCACTACAGATCCCTGGAGGTCCCTTTCCATCACTAAAATAAGAGATGACGATGCAGAGCATGGAATAATAGGGTTGGAAGAGACCTTGGAGAGCTGAATGCAACAACATTTCATTTTAATGTATGCTGATTCATATACATTTAAAGTGACAATAAAGACCCAAACATGAAGCCAACCTGCTGGAAGTGTAAACCTTAACCTTACATCAGGGGTCTCCTACCTTGGCAACTTAGCAAAGCTGGCTGGGGAATTCTGGGAATCTGCCACACTTATTGAAGGCACCTGCCTTAGACAATGCTCCCCCCAATGTACTTTTGGTGCTCACTAGGAGTGTGCTTCTAGGTGTCTTTTTGTATATCTCATTGAGAGGCAAGCTCTGCTACCCTTTTCTTAAATTGTGTCTTTGCAGAAAGCCAGGCACTACATGGGAAATATTTTGTGAGCATCCTCTCAAGCCACGGAGAAGAAGGCAGCATAATGGATAGCCGAGGACAAGCATTAAAGCTAACTCGCATTTATAAGATCTTATCTCCTGAAAGGTGTCCACATTTGGCAGCAACGCCTAAAATCTTCTTCATACAGGTAGGAGCTGTGGGGTTCTGGATCCAAACAGAAACAGTGAAGAATGGGAAATCCATTCATTCTTTTTTTTTTATCCTATAGGACAGGGGTCTTGGCAAAACACAGCCTTGCAATGATTTCAAGACCACTGCAAAATCTTAGAACATAGTCTTCCTTTACACATCTCTCTTGATTGCATGTATTTGAGATTAATAGGGAAATAACCTCAATGAGATTAATAGAGATTGGAAAACTTTGATTTCGTGACTCCAGACTCCAGTCATTTTCAGATCCAAAGGTAGACTTTCGAAGTTATGCAACCAAAAGCTGGCAACTGTCTCTACATGCATATGAGTTCTGAGTTTGCGAACAGGGTTTGCCCTCCGCAATATGTACAGTAACTGTAGAAACCCCCTTGAAAAAACGAATGACTCATTCCGGAAATAATGTTTTTGATGCCATGTCTAGCATACGTGAATGACTCTGATGTCAAAAGATAAAGCGAAGGTATTTCTAATTCTCCTTACACAGCAACACAAAAACTAATGTCTACGTTAGCTTTAATGTAATTTCCTGGATACCTTTACAGCAGGCGTAAAGTTCAAACTTCGATTCAGTTATACTGTTTATTTTTTCCAAAGGCAAATACGAGTTGTGGGAATCTATGCAAGAGAAGACAGGGTGAAATAATGCCCCAGTCCTCCAGTTAATGCTATTTTGTTTGTTTATTTATTTATTTGTTTGTTTGTTTATTTAAAAAGCATGGAAGTTTCATGCAAACTGTTATCCTCATTCCTTCAGTTGAGCCCATTCAGATGAAAATGGCAAAGGTGTCACCTCTCACTCATGGTCTAGATAGAATAAGTCATAAGAAAATTTGAAGTGACTCTCCAGGGTGTGTGGATCCAGCAAACAAAGGGCTGTGCACAAAGGCTATTTAGCAGCTGTTGCCTTCCATGTGTTTTTCAGGCATGCCGCGGAGAGAGATTTGATGATGGCATCCAAGTAGAAACAGATAGCAGTGCACCAGAGGAAGACTATTTCTCACATTACCTGTCTATTCCCGAAAATACTGCTGTCATGTTTTCTTGCTGCCCAGGTATGTCAATCTAACCACCTAAAACCTAGGCTAGGTCAGGTTTGCAGCAAAGGTAATCAGATACCTCAAAATAAATGCACAGGATTGGGGAGAATTACCCATTTGGGAGTTTGAAAAATAAACAAATAATAAAAAAAAACAACCAGCCAGAGAACAGCTGGTTTGTGAGTCTTAGTAAGGGCACTCGGCCAAGACAAACATAATTACAGATGGTTGCTAGTCCATCACAACTTATAATCTAATGTAACCATGGGGTCTTATCATTCAATGATAATCAGGGAGGGCAGGAATCAGCAAAAATGCATGCAATAGCTTGAACAGATACTTATGAAGAGGTGAACAGTAAAAATCTGGAATTTCAGAAGCAACCAGTTCCTTTCCAGATTTTTCCCATCATTCCTTGTGTAGGGCTGATCTTGTTGTCACGATGAAAGGACAAAGGACGAATCAATTAGGATGATATGCTAAGAACAATTCAATTGTTCTTTACAGAGAAGAGTTGTATCTTTGGAAGCTGCCAATCTCTTATTTAATTTTTCAGGCTTCTGGACAATCGTTGCAATCCTTCCATTGCAAATAGAACAACACTTAGGATCTAGAGCCATTTTATGATTTCACCCAGCCACTGTTAAAGGGATGCAAAGCTTGTCCGTGCCTTTATTACTTTGGCTAAACGACTTTGGATGGCTCTTTCAGCATGATATAAACACAATAGGACTCTAACTCTGGCCAAAGAGAAAGTCCCTATTTGCACAACAACTAGTTTCCCATGTAATGTGCACTTTATCATTTCCTGGCTGTTGAGATATGGCACATACTGGCAAGAGATGCGTGTCCAGATTTTACTACACTTCTCTAACATGTTTGCTTAGTGTAGAAAAGTCCCGTTGGACTTTTGACATCTCCTTATCTTTCTTTCTCTTTCTCAATTGCTCAGGCTATGTTTCCTTCAGCAATCAGTTGGAATCGATGTTTCTCAAAGCATTACTGGACGTGCTAGAAGGAGAGAAAAGAAAACTGAAAGTCACCACACTCATGACTTGGATTAACTGGAAGGTTGCGTTTCTTTGTCAAGCAAAAGGAAGTAAATATAAGGGCAAAAAAGAGATGCCCTGCTTTGTCACAAACATGGTGGAGGAGGTTTACCCTTTTAAAGAAGACAGGGAATACTCGGATTAACCAGATCACTCCAAACCTACAGATACAACTCAGTCGTCGGTTCATAAGGCAGTTTGATTTTTCACTTGCTGCATTTTGATCCAGCCAATTATAATTCATTCAAGTAGTCAGTTACAGAACCCCTTAATGTATTGTTGTCTGAACGTGTCCATGCATACCACGCTAGGAGAGAAACAGGATGGGGATACTTAAAAAAAGAAATGGTTTAAGGAATGCTCACCCTTACGGGAAATAAAAATATGAGTCATAATAGTGGCATGGATATTATACAACCCTTTGCCTTTGAAGGAGAAAAGTGGAGTGGTGGTGGTGGTGTGTATGCAACTGCTTAAAGACTATGGCTTTTTTTGCCAGTCTCTGTGACAATGCTAAGAAAAGGTGTGTTGTCAACAGATGCTTTGTGTTCTCTCATGCATTCCACCCTCCCTTTGGATCCAATGCTTTGAGCAACACTTGTTTGCAGCAAATGGAACAGAATGTGTCCATGTTGCCCACTGTTTGACTGAAGAGTGACATGCAAATTCTTGAAATAAATTAAGTAAAACAGTAAATTGTGAAGATCGAGAAGGGAGCTGCATAACATGTCAACGGGTCTCTCTCTGAAGGTACAGGTAGTGTCAGGTTACATTTAATAACTAACTACTCAAGAAGTTACAACGAACTTTAAGAAAGCTACTTATGACCCGTCCTCTAAGTTATGACTGATGCCCCTCCGTGGTCACATGATCACATTTCTGACGAGTTGTGGCGTTCCAGTTATGAGTGTCATTTACATTTTTATGGGTTTCAGCAAAAAAAAAAAACCTGCTATTTAGGAGAATGGAACACAATTCACTTTATGACTGTGGCGACTCATTTTATAACCATTGTAAAAATGAACATGAATTTGAGTCCAGTCTTGACTCATGACAATGATTGACAAACAAAATTCTAGGCTTCACTGTGGTCCTGAGTTGAGCACTACCTGCATGGGTGGATTGCTACATAGGCCTTGAAATTCAAGGTTCCTTTTCGGGCCATAATGTACATTTGGAAGATGGAGAGATGGGGTTGTACAGCTGCTTAATGTACCTTCTATGGATGCTGCCTTAGAGTTGCTTTGCAACTGGGAAGCCTTAGAAACCAAATGAATGGTTGGAATGTTTTGTTTTCTTTAAAAAAAAGATTGGCACTGTCATTGCGTAAAAATGTTAAACACAATCCTAAAGAATCAGGGGTATAAGAAAAACAAAGTTAAATGCTAATATAGTCATATGGCATGAATGGCATCAGGAAATAATATTTTCCCTTTATTTTGTTATTTGCTCTTAGTAAGTCAGGCAACAAAAGAAAATAGGTTTACAATAACAAAACCTATGCTAAATCCTTTTCTTTCACTGCATTTAAATCCATGTCTAGCTTCACCTCTGTTCATCTTCATCATGTGGAACCTGTTTCTCTTCTTCCATAAGCCAGGCCTGCATGACTTTCATATTAAAAGGGAATGCCCCAAAAAGTTAAGATCCCTTTTGACAGACAGGTGCCAAAAGTAGAACTGAGGGTGTGGATTTTTCACTAGAAGCATTACATTTATCAAATTGGGGTACCTTCCCTGTTGTGGCTTGGCAGGAGCCGTTGGCCACCAGGTGGCGGCAGAGCATTGGATCAGAGGGAGTGTTCAGGGAA